GTATAATGTCTTGTGACGTCCACGGCCTACCCCAGTTACCACTACTGTGCATGTGTGTCAAGGACAGAAAGGCAGATGTGGCAGTGGAAGGTGTCAAACCAGTTTGGAGAGAAAAACAAAGTAAAGAACAAAAAAAAAAAGATTAATCAATTATTAAATTAGTCGTCGATTATTTTAATAATCGATTAGTCGTTGACTAATCGACTAATCGTGGCAGCCCTAGTTACCATTTATTTTAATATTTGAGACAAATACAATCATCCTATTTACAATGTGTTCACATTTTTAAGACCTCTGAAAGCTTGATTTAAGACATTTTAAGGCTATTTAAGGCCTTATTTTTGGATTGATGAATTCAATGACTTTTAAGGCTTTTTAAGGATCCGTAGGAACCCTGAATTTCATGTGTCTACAGTGTTTTATGTAAATATAACAAGTTAAAAATAACTCTTTTCTAGTTTTGAAAAGAATATTGGAGCTAAAATATATTAGACTCTGTGAAAGCTTGGCTGTAATTTAAATCCTGAGGGGATTTGAAGAAAACTAAGTTGTATAGCAGTGAGAGACACCTTGGATAAAAGAAGTCATAAGTATCCATGTTTTAATGTGTAATTTGTAAACGTACCATAGAAATATGTGACCCATCACATCGAGCTGAGGATTAAGTCACAGAGTCGTACATGTCAACTCCATCGGATGTTTACCTGTATGTTGATCTTCAAAAATCTGTCATTTTCACAAAAAAATAWTCTGTCTCTCAGACAGGAAACAACAGGTCAGTGGGGGGTTGGGGGGACAAGCAGATTATTGGCTGCAGGGACAGGAGCAGGGAGAGGTGGGGAACTTATTTCTAGCGGCAGAACGGAGATGGTTATTTGATTTTGTTTATTTATTTTRTATCCTACAGGCTCCGAGACGTGAAAATAATTGGAAGGGTTTTTTTTTTCTATACGTCTGTAAACCTGCAAAACGGGACAATCCGTACAACCTGACGTGTGCAGTGGGATGTGGAGGAATAGGCAGCTATTGCATTTTATCCAAATATAATGAATAAATGCCTTATCAGTGGAGCATTTGAATGAAGCTCTTTTTTGAGTAGTAGCTAAAAAAAAAACAAATTTTGAGAAAAAACACTAGAGCTGGGCGATATGATCAAAATTTTATATCACCGTATTTTCAACATTTTCACCGGTTTCACGGTATTTGA